GGTCATTGGTAAGGCTGGATACATCATCCATGCTGTGAAAACTCCCTCCCAGGCCAGAACAGGCTTGCAAAATTGGCAGAAATAGGGTTCATAGGACAGATCTGAGATACAGCTGGACATCTGCCCTGAATCCCTGTGTTGAGATTCTGCTATTCACAAAACCCAACCTAAAGCAGACTGGAGTCAGAGCCTGAGCAGCTCCTTTGAATAGAGGGAGTAAGGGATGCTGTACCAACAGGTGACCCAACACAAACAGAAGGAAGATGTGTGAGTGGTATTCCTTGAGCTACCTGGGTCATCAAAACTACAACCTTATCCTTGTCTTCTGACTGCATTTTGGTTTTCTAAACTTGACTTCCTTTTCAAATTATGTATTTGCAATTTATTTAATGGGCTCACATCCTCACAAAATTCTTTTTACTGGGCTTCAACACCTTTCCTGTGCATATGTATTTGTGCGCACATATATTGTCTGCCTTTCTTCTCATGGTGTCTCTAACACTGATCCGATTAACTGAATCCTCTGCATGCCACCTTATCTCCTCCAACCCAACCTGTTTGCTTATATGCTTGATCCTTGTGTTGCAGTGGACATGAACTATTTGTTTTTAAGGAATAGTCATTTTTATAGCACAGCTTGGGAGTCTAAAGCTCAGGAAAAACACATTCACATAGTATCTTTCATAAATATGGAAATTCTAATCATCCAAGTTTTATGATCCTCATATTTTCAATTTATCATGGTCTACATGTGGAATAACTATGACAGATGTTAGATCCTATGCCACCTCCTTGTTACCAAGCTTTTGGGTTTCTGATGCACATCTCAGTGTGTGCTCAGAGCTACATAGTAGAGTTTCTTCCTTATCCCACTCTTCTCTCCCCAGGCATTTCTTTCCCAATAATACCTATTTTATGTTGAAGCTAAAATAACTCATTAATTATCTTTGAGCATATAGTAAGTAGAGAGAATTAAAACGGGGAGATGCTCACATGGGTTTATGATCTACATCTAGAATACAGGTCAACTTGACTATTCTATGTGATTTATAAAATGATTCTAATATATGCCATGTATTTGAGTATAGGATTATTTCTAACTCATTTTCATAGCCTGTTCAGTGGCTCTTATAGCGTCTGGTGCAGAGTAAGTGCTTATTGAATAAATGAGTGGTCCCAATGGTGGTACAGGAAGAAAATGTTAGAATATCAAAGAGTTGAGAGACAGATGAGGACAGTTTTAGAAATGAAGCTTCTAAAACCTTTGCCTCCAACTAATAAAAATAATTGGGAAAAAAAATAAAACCTTTGCCTCTTGGATGGTCTAAACATATATGGTAGCTGAAGAGAAACAGCTCCTTGTAACTCTTGGTTCCTTGTCTGTGAGATTCAGTGGGAGACCTTTCTTTCTCACTATGAGGAATCAGTGCACAACTGGAGAAAATAACAAAAATAAAGGCAAGTACTGGAAAACAGGATTTTCTCTTTCATGTCCATGATTTTCTTTGGTATATTTAAATACCTGGGAATGTGATTCATCAGTCATTGGATTTAACAAAATCCACTCTCATTTCCCCATAGGCTTTAGTGATACAGGAAACTTTCAATTATCACAACTAATGGAATGGAAGCAAAAATACACATAATCAAATGCCATTTCTATTTGTCTTTGGAAAGTATTATGTCTGCTCTTCCCCTGGCAGCTTTGCTTTTATGATGATTAGTTCTAGCTTGGGCTAATATTAAAATGAGTTTGCATTTTCTCTGTACAATACCTGGCAGTAGAAGAGAAATGTGTTTATGGCAGAGGAAGCTCATGCAGGGCTTAGAATTTGTCACAGTTAATCACCCACATGGATAAGCTACATGCAGCAAGTGGGCTTTTGAACAGACTAAAAGGCAAAGAGCAACTACATGTCCTGGATTTCAATGGCCCGGGGTAGATACCCCAGGAGAAAGCTATAGCTCATGTTATGAAGAGTGTGAGTAGAAAAAGCACACTGAACCAGGAGGAAGGCAACTGGTGTTCTCATCCTTGATGCCAAAGGGAGGCCATATAACCTCTTTGTGTTTCAGTTTCTTTATCTAGAAAATATAATAATGACATCTGTAACTGTTTACCTAAAAGATTAACTGCTAAAAAAGAGTAGTGAATAAAAGGGTTTGTAAAAGTATTAAACGCTAGGAAAACAAAAAGTATTCATAGACAAACAGTGAAATACTGTCACCAGCTTTTCACAATCTGTCCTTTGCCCTAACTCCTCAATGCTTGGAGTCTTGGGCCGTGGCTTCTGAAACTTCACCCAGTTTTTTAAAAAGTCACATTTCTTAAGGATTCTGCTCTTCCAGGAATAGCTACTTTGATAATGTCCATGGGTCCTAATGAATAGATACATCCTTTATCAGGATTTTAACAGAGATCTTTCAGCTATAATAATTAATCTTGTTGTTGTTTAATTGTTAAGTTGTGTCTGACTGTTTGTGACCCCATGGACTATAGCCCGCCAGACTCCACTATTCGTGGGATATTCCAGTAGAATACTGGAGTGGGCTGCCATTTTCTTCTCCAATAATACTTAACCTAGTGGCTCTCAAAGTGAGAGATCCCTGGACCACCTGCGGCGGCAGCAGCCTCTGGGGATGCAAATTCTTGGACCCACCCCAGACCGAGTGAATCACAAGCTCTGGGAGTGCAGCCCAGCAATCTATGTTTTAACAAGTGCTCCAGATGATTCTGGTGTACTTCAAGTTTGAGAACCACTGCCTTAACTCAAAGGGAAAAAGGGAAACCCAGGAATTGGGCTCTGAGACATGCTACTGAGAGACCTTTACTTCTCTGAAGGAGGTAGGATAAGACTTATGGGACTTTTCAAATCATACTGCATATAGCTGTGCGCGCGTGCCCGTGTGTGTGTGTGTGTGTGTGTGTGTGTTCTGTGTGTGTGTAAGTAAAATGATGGCCGAGAACATAACCATCCCACCTAAAAATGTATCACACCTTCCTTAGCATTCCCCACTTGCCTTTCTTAATCTACTTTTCCTTGTAGCATTCATTCCCTCTTAATATGCTGTTATTTACTTATTTTCAGTTATTGTCTATCTCCCCCAACTGGAATGTTCACTCCATAAGGCAATCTGTTTTGTTCACTGCTGTGTCCCCAGTTCTGAGGGCTGTGCATGGTTCCTAGTCAGTACTCATTACATATTTGTTGAATTAACAAGTGAATGAACAACTGCTGACATTGAGAGATAAGAAAATACTGGGTCAGATCAAAACATTGAAACACCTGCAAGAACCCTTCTTACAGCACAGGAGCCTTGCCTCTCTGTTCCTGCTTTGGGCTCTGAAACAAGTGTGCAAACAAGGCTTGGGTAACTGCCATCCTCAGGGGTTCAATTCACTATGCTGTTTGATTATCATTACAAAATGTGCTATCTGGTTTTTCCGAGGCTGGGGATAGTGTACTGATTGATCAATGCATTCACAGGCCTGGCTATGGGTGTGCAAGAGACCAGAGTGTGACACAATAGGGAAAAGGCAGTCTAGGAACAGAAACCTACTGAATTCTCATCCTTATGCTGCCCTAACTTGCTATACTGTCCTAACTAAACTGCTTAGCTGCTGGGTCTCCTTTCATTGGTGGATCTCAATGATCTCCACGGTCACTTTCAATTATATTAATAATTACATATCCATTCAAATATTACTTGATTAATGCCTCCCTCCTCCACTAGCAAACTCTGTGACAACAGGGGCTGAGTCTGTATTTGCCCACCTAGTTCATAATGCCCAGCACATGGGGGCACTCAAATATTTGCTGAGTGAGCAAATTTCTGTGAAAATCAAATGGGAATCTCAGCTTCATCAGCTTGTGCTCTATACAGCTAAGTTCAAGGTATGTGGATGTAGGTTGCAAAACCCTGGCCTGGAAGAGATCTCCAATCAACAGGAAGAGCAGGATGCTGGCTCTGCCTCCCTCCACCAATCCCCAGGGCACACAGAGGTTGCAAAATTCATTAAATGCATTCATGGCAAGGTATATGGGAGAGAGCCCAGACTGGGTGCTGGCCATCAGCCCTGTGGTCTGAAGAAGCAAGGGTTTGAGGATCAGACACCTGAATCACAGATCTGTTATTCTCTAGTTTTATGACTTTGTACAAATTATTTACTTCTCTCAGCTTCAGCATTTTTATCTGGAAAACGAAGTACTGCCTGCCTCTCAGGATGGCTCTGAAGATCAGAGGAGTTGATAAACATCAAGTGCTTTCCCAACAATCTGGTGTAAGGAGGGTGCTCAGTGTATGGAAGCCTCCTTGTCTGGTCCTGCCTTTTCTGCCCCTTACAAGGTTTCTAACAAAGCTTCCTGTTTCGAAAAACTGACCCAGTTGGTTATGGCTAATGGGAGTGCCCTAGCCAGCCTGGCTTAAGGGGAGATAGAGATCAGAGTCAAAAGTGTTTCTCAAAATATTTACCTTTGGAAATATACACTTTCTCCATTTGCTTCTAGTTTGCTTAATGACATTTTGAGATTTTGAACTTGCTCTAACTTGATATCAAAAAGTGCAATTTTGTAAATAAATCTTAACAACTGATAATCACTTGAATGTACTCTTATCAGTGAACAGGATGAGTTAGAACTTAACTTCTCTATTTGGCTGCCTTTGTCTCTCCTTCTGCTTTGCTCTTTGAGGGAATTATCCTCCAGGTCCTGCCTTGCCCCCTCCACCTTCCCCCACCACACTCATGACTTCATATGACCATCTTTGTCCTGGAAAACAAATTCTGCTGCTAGGCAACCAGAAAACAAAATCCATAGTGGTTGACATGATTTGCATTGTGATGGCAATTGCACTGGTGCCACCACCAGGCCAGACGTACACCCATTGCATCTGTCCTCAACAGATCTTTCCAGAAGGTGGGATGGGGTGCATTCCTGGTAGAAAATTAAGGGCCTCAGTACTCAACGGAAAGTATTTATAAATCACTGTATATCAACAGCCTGCTTTAGAATAATTTTATTAGAACACATTCAAGAAAGTGACATATGGAAAAAGACAGCAGCAATTCTTAGTCATGCAAATGCCCATGTTAAGGTTCTCCATTGGATTTAAATTCAAGTACAAAGACAGTCCTTTCCTGAGCCAGGTGCAATTCCAGAGCATGACACTTTTGAGTCGAGAGCATGTTTCCTCTGCAAAGTTCAGAACACTGAACAAGTCCCACACTCACAATAAGCTTGTGAGATACATGGAAGTGTAAACGTTCAGGATTTTAAGGAACCCTTTACCCAAGCCCCGCCCCCCCCGCCATAACCCAGCCGGGGGAAGTGAACCCAACTTTGGGACCTCTTATAAATAGATTTAGTCTATTGAAAATAAAGCAGTGGGCCTTAAAAAAAATTAGAAAATGAATATATACAATACATATATATATAATGTAATGGAATCACCTTTGCCTTTTGCCTTGGTGTGGGATTTCCATGAAACTCTGTGTTAGGGGTGGGGGCTCTCAAGTGTTTTGGGAGTTGGAGGACTTTTTTTATTTTTTAACTTTTTATTATGAAAAACTGCAAACATATACAAAAGGGAGAGAATGATAGAACGAACACCCACGTGCCCATCATCTAGTCTCAACAATTATCAACATGTGGCCAGTTTGTTTATTTCTTCTCCCACCTCCCACCCACCCCTGCCAACAGGATAATTTGGAAGCCAAGGAGGGCTGGTAGGGTGATCTGCGAACGAGACACCTCAGCAGTGAGTAAGGTTAGGGAGGAGCTAGAAAACAGTGACAAAACCTGGGTAGGTTGAAGCAGATGAAACATTTGTTGGGAGTAGTAGTTCCTGCCAGTGTTTCAGATCGGTTGGAGTTGACCCTCACCTTCCATAAACCATAACCATAAGAGGTCCCTTTTTCCTTCTCCCTCCTGTTCATGATATAGGGGAGGCAGGCTAGATTAAAATGATGAGTTTTTCCAGATTGGGGCCACTGACAAAAGAAACATTCAACGTGGAGAAAAACTCCAGGAAAACTCTAATGAACCCCCCACCAGGGTCGGGGGCCTGATGTTCAGACTGGGAGCTGGGGGAGTGTGTTGGGCCATGGGGACACTCACAGGTCCCTACTGCCCCACCCATTTTAGACTTTGGAGAGAAGCTCGGCAACCTTGAATTGCACCCAGTAGAGAAAGAAGCAAGGGGCCCCGAGGAGTGAGCCCATGGCCCAGGGGGCAGATTTTGCATGGGACATGTTGCCCTCTGAGCAAAGTTTGCACCCCACACCAGCCCTGCCAGAGCAGTCTCAAGAGAGGTGGGTGATGGGAGTCCAGGTGGGAGGTCCCAACGGCGGCACGGCTAACCCGGTGAGCTGCGTGCTAAACGTAAGTGGAGAAAGGATCTCCAGGTCCCAGGTACCACCGAGGAGCAAGGTTGCCATCCTGTTAAGAAAAGGGCCGGGGCTCTGTGATTTGCATATAACTTTGCAAAAATTTTCATGAGATCCTGTAGCCCTTTATAGAAAATAGAGTGAAACCATCAGTGTGACCTAGTGTATTTCTAGCAATTCAACGCACATAGTGCAACCTGGCAAATACACAGTCATTATTTTAGAGGAAATGGAGGAAGCAGAGTGCTGTGTAGGATAGTGCTTGGTCTGAAGGTTCAGAAGTCAACCAGGTCTAGCATCCAGAGGAGGATCACTGACTGGCCACTTTTAACTGTGAAATACTGTCAAGAGTGCAAACCTGCACATTGTTCTTTGCATTAGTTCCCTGTAGAGCAATCCTGCTGTGACTTTCCAACTTCCCAGACAGACAAAGAGAAGTGGAGCCAGGAATAATATAAATAGAGATACATTAAATAAGAGGTCCAGTGGCAGTGATCATTAGTGTTTATTTCATACCTTTCCTGTCTTTTTCTGGTTTCGTTTTCTTGTTTCAATTCTTTTAGGGTCCCTGTGCCCTACCAAGTCTTACCATGACATTCAGCTAGAGAAAGAAACTGAGAAAAGTTTACCCATTTATGCAGCAGATCTTTAGTAGTAACTGACTTAACACTCTTGATTTCAAGTGTTTCCAGGGTCTGTAACATAGTAATCTGGAACTTTTCTAAGGCACTAGGCTGGTTCATGCACACTGCAAGGCCGGCTAAGGGAATGGATTACCGAGTGAGGGAGTGATGGAGCCATGCCAGAGACCCCATATTCTAGTGTGGTTCTACCATCTCTATTGGGCCACTGGAGGCAATGGAATCATCCTTTCTTTAGGAACGATGGTCCTTCATAGAGCAACAACTTCTAATGCTACTGGAAGAGTGAAATATTTCAAAAAGCAATGGCTCTTATCCAAGAGAAAAGTTTAAGATGAATGAAAGAGTCTGACCTCCCATTTGACTGTGGTTCAGCTCATGGTGTCAAAGGCTACCTTATGGAAATGAGAAAACCAGTATGAGACTCTTTTAGTAAGAACTCTAGCCAGGCAAAAACTGTTCATTAAGGGACAGAAAAGCCTCAGCATGGAGTTCAAATGGCAGTTACTCTGAACTGTGGAGAAGGTCGGGGGTGCTAAGGATTCAGAAGGGAGATGAGATTCTAAAGAAAGTCCGGGACAGGATGCATGTATTTGTGAAAGGGCAAAGTACTGGTACCCACTGAGCTCACCTTTTCCAGGGCAAAAGGGTCTCAAAAAATTTTAATCATATTTTCCTTTGCATAATGCTACATTAATGGGCTGAGGGTAGGGACATGGCATCAACTGTCCTGATTAGCTAGTCCCCCACATCATAATTCACTGTCAGTACCAGTTTATAGATGTGCTATTACATCTGCAGAGCTTACTTTAGTGGCAGAATTTAATAGTTTTACAAGTACTGACTTTGACATTTGACTCTTTATACAATGGTTAAAATTCTAAGGGAGGAGAACAGTTTAAAAAAATATTTTCAGTGTCATCATTATTAATAGCTAATTTATTTGTGTCAGCTTTATTATCACTATTATTAATGGCTAATATTTGTTGCATGTTTACCATGTGCTAGGCAAAGTGCTGAGTATCTGGCATGCATCATTTCATGAAATGTGGAATGGGTAATACCATTACTCCCATTTTGCAGACTGAGGCATTAAGGTCCTGCCCAGGATCATACAACTGGCAAGTGGAGGGGCTGAGATCTGAACTGAGGTTGGTTTGACTCCAAAGTGGTCCTAACTGCTGTGCTAGGTTGCCTTTTGTAAAGGAGAATCCATCTGCTAAATGATATTTGTATGTGTGTCTGTTTGTAGATTCCAAAGGTCTTAGAAAGCATCCCTCACATATTGTGAGGATCCATGTTATAACTAGAAGTGGTTTGGGTCACTTCAGTATGTGTATTTATTAGATTTTGCACAAAAACTTTTATCTTCTTTTAAACCTCAAGATGTGATGGTCTCTGTGTACCTGTAAATCTGATGATGGTTATGTGAGACATATAAAAAATTCAGGCATGTAGGCAAACTGAACACTTGTTCTCCAAAACTGAGAAAATATGTGCATTTACATAGGAAGTCATCATATTATATGGCCCAGTTGGTGCCTTAAAAGAGTAGTTAACATCCATACATCAACATTAAAAAGCAACGGCCATTTATGATCTCATTGAGATGATTTTCTGAAAATCTAGCCTAGGGCAGAGACTAGTGGGAAAAATTTAAGTGAAAATGTGGTTTAAAAAAATGCCATTAACTTTCTTTGAAATGTCAACAATCTCTATTATTTAGACAATAACTCTCAGCTTGGAATTCACAGATATCCCATATCCAATCGCCCTCCACCTTTGGCATTCTGATTCAGCAGGCCAGTGAGGAGCCTGGGATGTTTTTTGAAATGTTTCCTTGGTAATTCTAGGGGTCACTTGGTTTAAAATCATTAAGGCACAGGACTTTTCTATGTACCTGACAATACATGGTTGGAAAACCTGAGTTGTGTAGCATTTCAACTGCATTTTCACATCTGCCAGTATACACTGTCCAGAAGCACTTGGGCATTTTCCATGAGGAGCAAGAATCAGTGAGACCCATATTGATAGGATAGCAGCTTTTATTAACCACACCTTCCAGAATTCTTTTTTTTGGGGGGGTATATTGAGATTCTTCCCATCTCCCCCTATTCAGTTATGTGCTAAGTTGCTTCAGTTGTGTCTGACTCTCAGTGACGCTATGGACTATAGCCTGCCAGGCTCCTCTGTCCATGGGATTTAACAGGCAAGAATACTGGAGTGGGTTGCCATTTCCTCCTCCAGGGGATCTTCCCAACCCAGAGACTGAACCCATGTCTCTTACATCTCCTGTATTGGCAGGCAGGTTCTTTACCACTAGCGCTACCTGGGAAGCCCAGGTATAGACTCCTTCATAGAAACACTTTACTTATTTATTAATATAGAGCAGGTCTCATTCTAATATTAGATACTCATAACATGAGTTTTCTGAGTTATAAAGAGAGGTTCTATAGTCTCTGGGTAGAACATCTAGTGGTATAAAAATAGCCACAAATGGGGAACATATTTGTTATATTATAGATTTATATCCTTTCTTGTTCTACAAAGAATTTGAGGCAGCTGTTTTACAGTATGTTTTTAAATGCATCTTCAGTTGACTTTATGTTCTAGATGTTTCTGTCTGATGGATTTGGAAGCCACTGAGGCAGGTATGTGCCTGAGTTACTACTTCTGTGGCAGACATAATAAACTGTCTCTTCTAAATTCCTGACTCACGTCATGTTCTGTTAGGCACAGCAGACTGAGCAGTTGACATGTATAATACATAGAACATGGCATGTTCCTGGTTTTTTATTCTTTTTCCCCTTGCTCTTGGTATTTTCAATCAAGTGCATTTCATTCAGTTGATCAGGAGGGAGAAATGATAGGACTTAACAGCATCTGGGCCAAAATGTTACTTTGTGTGTTTCTGCCTGAATCATCCAAATGTTCTGGTTCATGGACTTGGCCAGCAGAAGGCAGTGTACATAGCAGACATGAGAAAGACCTGGGTTCAAATCTCAGCTCTGCCACTTTCTGGATGTGTGACCTTGGGCAGGTTATTTAACTTCTACATTTTTCTCATCTGCAAAAATGAGGATAATGATACTTACCTTGAAGAATTGTGAGGATTGAGTAAGAAATTACATAAAAAAATGCCAGGCTCATAGTAGGTGTTCAGGAAGAAAAGACAATTGTTACTCTTGGTCGTCTATGTGCTGGACGCTTCCTTATAGTAGCCTTCATGATTTCCTCGGCCTGTTCAGTTACAGCAGGGGCTTCTAAGGGAAAGGACTGTATGACTCTCATTAGATGGGCAGATTTGTCCTTAGAGGGCACTTCATTGCTCTGTGTTCTTCTGTTACACACATGGAACTGCAAAGCCCATATTAAATGGTTTAAGAGAGCCTTTCTCCACCTCAGATTTCAAACTAGAGCCCAGACTGGAAATATTCCTTCACCAGAATGGGAAACTGAGATACAGAATAGTACAAATGTTGAATCATGCAGACAGAAAGACATCATGAATTATGTTTTCAGTTTAGCTCTTTTTCAAAACTGATTTTTGTGACTTTCTTAGTTTTTTCATGCTTCCTACTCTACTTTTGGCTTCTAGCCGTGTGTGTGTGTGCTGCTCATACTGACCCCAGGGCTCCTCATCTGGAATTCGGTGAGGAGGTATCTGGCAAGGAGTGGTTGGCCAAGCAGCTTGGTGAAGAACAAAGAGGCCTCGGGGTGGTGCAGAGACAGGCTCTGCTGTGTCCCCTCCTGAGTGACAGATTGGGAGTCCCCACTTGCAGAACACTATCCCAAAGGAATGAAATCAGCCTCAGCAAGGAAGTCACTCCCTCTGTTTTTCATCTTTTCATTTTTCCTTCTGCTTTTGGAGAGAACTGTGAGACTAGGCCAGGTGGGAGAAGCATCCTTGACAATGTTTGTTTCATGTAACTTTTTTGTTCCAAGTTCAGAAAAGATAGAAACTTTCTCTACCGAAAGCTATCAGAAACTCTGCTCTGTCCCTGGAGGGTAGGAGAGGAGGGAGGAGGAGGGAGGGGAGGGAGTGGGGGAGCTGTGTGTTGACCTGATGATGAACCTACTGTTAGGAACCTTGCTGCCCATGCAGGGGTGACCCATCCTCCCTACCTGGGGACCCAGTGTCCCCACACTGATCTCTCGGGGAACCCCTCCATCTGGAATCATAGGGGGTTAAAACCGAACTTGAACCTGCCTGCCTTTTCTCCATCCCACTGTATATCTCTTCATAAAATCTCTTCATGAACTTGAGCATATATTTCAAGCTTTTCCTCTCACCTTTTCTATACTTTACTAAACAGCTGAGTTTGGGGGAAAACTCTGATGAACCCACTATTCACCTTCCCTATTTCCCCGCCTGAATTTTCCTCCTCTTCCCTTTCACTATCCAAGGCTC